TCACCCAAGGCTGTTACACCTGGCGACACAACCAGGTGTTAAAGTGTCTTGCAGCAGTGACTGGAAACGCGACAGATGAGTGTAAACGCCCTTCAACCCCCATCATCCCGCTGGCAGGCAACAACATTTGTTGCTTGTCAGGCAGTCAAGGACCTCTCCAGAGATGCTGCAAAGGGGAGTCAGTGGCTGTGGATAAAGAGGAAAGACTCCACCTGGACCCTCAAGTGAGTAGATGGGATCTAGGGGGTGAACCTGGGACGCTGGGATTCACTGCTGAACCCTCTGGAGGTGTCGTGGGCCTATCAGCGAAACATCTAGGAAGGAGGGCGCCCACTTGATAACCCAGAGGATGCCATCGCTCACTTGATCATCCCACAGAGTCTTAGTAGTGTCTCAGGAATGCAATAAGGGATATCAACATCTAGTCCTACACAACAGATCTAAGCGGATTTGTGTAAATTTTCTTGCAAAGTACATCAGAGATAATTATATACTCTGAAAGATCACCCTGAATCTAAAACTATCTATGATACTGTGTATGTCTGTGTGTTCAGATTTGACTCAGTTATGACATTGTTTTTACAACACCTGCATGCACCTGTCGCTTTCACCTTGCACAGTACGTTTGTGTAATATCTCCCCCTCTCTGCACCTCCCCTTCAACACTCCCTCACAGTTTAAAAACCTCCACACAAAAGCAATTGATCGATATGTGTCACCATTCACTGTTTAACACTCTCATAATGTCTTCTATAACCAGAAAACAATGATGAATCTATTGAAGGTGGTGCCATCTAGCTGCTGTTTCCCCTGTGAATCAATAAAGTGGTTAATTAATAATTAGTTATGATATTTGAAGGCAAGTTCATCTCTCATTTGATCAGAGCGCACACTATATCTCCCATGTGGACATCCTGTTGCTTCACATTAAGCTTCTGGATGCGGCCGTATAGATTTACCTGTCAGCCTTCGAGCCGTCACAAACCTTGCCAGCGAGGCTTGGGTAGCGACGAGCCGGTTGTCACAGCAACAGGTGAATCTCATGTTGGGATTGGCTATGAGGGTCCAGAGGGATGCTTGATTCATGCATCATATGAGCATTTGAGAAACATGGCATCAATGCGACTGTCAGTGTCACGTGGTTATTAGAGCATTATTGATGCCTTTTTGTTGCACTCAACAGCTTGTTTTCTATTTCTGTAACAGATATTGTACAATATCTGCACATATTTCAAACCATCAACCTCATGTGAGCTCTGGGGAAAAATCCTGGGAATTACGTGTAATAAATTATTTTATGTTATTCTCTCACATTCTACGGCTCACCTCTCATCCGACCCAATTGGAACATTTAGTTAATTTTTCCATCGACCAATCAATTGGATGAAGGGTAGGTAGAATTTCAATCGACCCAGTTTTACTTTGGTTGACTACAGCTTTAGAAATTACAAATACTGATCTTTATTTACCAAATCCTGTTTATTCAGATTCAGATTCAGATCTCTATGCATTTAGACAAAAATGCATTCCAGAGAGCTACTTTCTTCAATTTAAATCCTTCTCACTCTAGTTTACCCAAATCTCTTCAACAGAGGTGCAGAGGTGCTTAATTTGCATTAACCATAGAGCCATACTGGCCACATTTATATGAAGTTTGCCCATTTACCCCTTTTTATTTGTATTAAAAACAATTTTTAAAACCTTGAATTTCAAGAGCTTTTAGGCCTTTCATTGGCCTTCTGATACTCAAGTTAACAACCAAAATAGTGTTTTGGCAACTATTTTGGGATAGAGTTGGCTCAGTTGAATTTAATTTAACACCACAAAGGCGAGTCTGTCCCCGTCATGGAGCCACGTAAAGGCCCTTATACCACATCTCACATTTGATTCATCATTCCAACACCAGACAGAGTTAATCTAATCCTGTCCAGCCAAGCACAGCTGTATGGCCACTTTTTCAACCCTTAAACAATTTGATCAAGTAATGACACATGATGTTTAATTAAATCGCAAAATTCTTGTCATTCACAAGGAAAATACTTCTCAGACATTCATTTAATCCATGCAGGCTCGGTATGTCCAGAATATTTTGTCAAAATGACTTTGACCTAATTTAAGGTCAATGTAGCAAAGTATCATCATAAAGGTTATATTGTACACTCCGGTTGCAGCTTTAATCATTCAGTATCCAGTTCCACATGTACTCATTAGATTTGTGTATTATATTGGGTCTTATATTGCTTGGAAGTGGTCTGAAGAACAGTATCTATGATCTGCTGTTGGGGTGTTACTACAGGTAGTAAGGTAATAAGATTATGGATATTAATATAATATGAGATATTGTGTTACAGAAAGTAGTGGAACAGAGGGTAGACAGGAAGTGACCAAATTCCTGTATCAGCCTCAGCTGTACTTTGTGACTAATGCTAACATAAACAGTAGTATGCTAACTAATATATAATTATATATAATAATTATTATTATATTGTTATTATTATTATTATTATTTTGTATCGTTACACCTTCCCAGCATCAAATCCGGCAGATATCACGTACGACAAACGTAACATGACACAATAGACGAGAGGGAGATTCGACCGTATTTGATGTTGCAGTTACATCTTTTTTCTTTTTCCATTTTTTAAGACTATAGTTTTTAACTCAAGTAAGCAGTTGAATCAGTACTTCTATTTATGCCAGAGCATCTGTACTTCTACTGTACGTCTACTTCTACACCTCTAAAATGCAGTATTTTGTAGTCAAACAAGGTAGATTTGAATTATATCTTATTGTATTGAATTGAATTGTATCTTACAGCCGTGTCAATGGTAAATGGACTGTACTTGTATAGCCCCTTTCTCCAACACTCAAAGCACTTACATGCCATATTCACCCATTCACACACAGTCACACAGTGATGGCAAAGCCAAAACTTGCTGTAGCTTTTATTTTCTAATGATGCAGGCAAGGTTGTGTCCTGGATTATGTGAATGTTCTCAAAAAGGCTGTAAGCTATTACTTTCTATCAGTATTCAAAGTCCCTATAGTGTTAGTACTACACACTACACTGGGGCGGCAGTAGCTCAGTGTGTAGGGACTTGGCTTGGGAACTGGAGGGTCGGTTCAAGTCCCGCAGACCACAAAATATGGAGTGTGGACTGGTAGCTGGAGAGGTGCCAGTTTCACCTCCTGTGCACTGCCGAAGGTGCCCTTGAGCAAGGCAACCTA